CTCACATCTGTCTCTTTTTCTAGGACTAACGGACTCCTTCTCTCCAGGTCTCACCTGCCCCTCTGCCCACCTGCCAAGTCTAAGTCCAGTGTGAGCACAACTCTGGTTCTTGGTGCATTTGAGAGCCGAGATTGTGTGCCTGACTCTGGTGCAGAGGCCTGGCCCGTATTTAGTCTGTAAGGAGTATGCGTGGAATGCAAGCACGGATGCACGGATGAATAAACAAGCCTGGGCCCAGCAAATCGGAGCCTCCCTGAGCCCCAGTGCTCACCGGTGGTCCCTGCTCCAAGGAGGGGACTTGCAGAATTCCAGTCACCAAGGGCTTACAGTTTCAGTAGTCTAAAGTTTAATACACTTAGAATCTAAATGGATGGTCATGGTCACATAGCTGTAGGACAAAATAGGCTATTTCTTGTAGCAGCCTGAGCTGCACAGCTCAGGGTGCACACTGGAGAGAAGGCCTCGGTGTTTGTGGTCGCAACGTCCTTAACTGAGGTGCTGACCCCATGGGCCGGGGCTCCTCTTGGACTCACCACAGAAGGCACTGGGGAGAGCGAGTGGGTGGAGGACTCTCCTCATGGCAGCAAAGCTGGCGTGGGGCCTCTTGCAGTTTCCACAGCCTAGGAAACCTCAGACCCTGGGGAAAAGACTGATTCTAAGCTTAGACTGGCAGAGTCTGTCTGGGAGATGGTGAGCAGCGGTGGGAGGCTCCCTCAGGATTCTGGTTGCTGTGGGCTGTGGGTGTGTGGGGTGGGATGTGTTGATCTCAGGGACATTCTGGCCTCCTAAAGGACACCTCTGGGAAGGTAACTGGCTTCATCTGTTTTGATCAGTGTCCACACCACTCACCCTTCAGCCTCATCTCACCACCCCCACTTCCCACCCCACCCTTCAGCTACCCAGTCCTCTCACGGGTGCTTGATTCTCACACTCCTCTACATGTTCTTGCAGTGCTGGGATGCCCTCTTGCCTTCTTCACTGGGATACCTCCTTTTCCTCCTTTACAGTCCACGCCAAGCCCCCTAAAATAGTGTCCCACTGAGGTGTCAGGAAGGGGAAGGATGAGTCTTAGCCTTTTTTTTTTTCCTTCCTCAGCAGCAAGCACAGCGCTGCTGGAGGATGTCGTTGAGAGGGGGCTTTGTCTGCAGAGGAGGGTCTGGATCAGGGATGGAGGGCGATTTGGCCCTGTCTGCCCTGCTCCAAGGGTGCAAAGATCCCAGGCCCGCTCTGTTGGCAGCTGTGGACGGAGCCTGTCAGAGGAATCGCCACCGCCATCTAGTGGCCACAGTAGCCTACAGCCTCACAAGATTTTTCATAGACACTTCAGAGCAGGGCTGTGTTGTTCCACCCAAAACCGAACCAATGCCTGACTTCTCCAGAGTTCCAGAACAGTGCAAGACAGGACTAAGGCATCCGTCTGGTGCAAGGACTGAGGCCTGGAGAAATGCTTGACCATCCACCGAGGCAAGGCTGGCCTCAGAAAATCGGCAGCTTCCTTCCGTGCCCCTCAGGCATGCCGGTGACTCCAGCTTGAGCCCACTCAGCCTCAACTCCCACTGCCTGGGAGCAAAGAAGGCTTTGGGATCACCACTTTAACAGCTGCAGACCCAACTTTTATTTATTTTTTAGCTTCTGAGGGAGACAGCGCCAGCCATGGATGGATAAGGGGCCACGTTTGCTCCTGATCATTGATTGCCAGTCCATGTAGGGGCAGCCCTGGGCAAGACATTGTCGGAATTACGTCCTGTCCTCTCCCAACTGAAGCTGGCCTGGGGGCAGAGCTGTCCTTAGAGACCCCTCGCAGAATGTCTTGGGGTGGGCCTGGTGGCAGACACACAAGGCAATACCAACTGAATGCAGTCGTGGGCAGCGTCTGCCTCCAACCCCAGTTGTTAGTCAGGCTCTATCCTACAGGGCCCTGTAGGACTGGGCGCCCAGGAAGTGTAATTGGGTGTCACACAGTGAAATTGGCCTAGAGTGGAGGAGCAAGGGGCGCCAGGAAGCACAGGTTCAGACTCTCAGTCCTTCTGTTGGTAGCTTCCTGGACACTATTTCCTCTGTGAGGACTGTTTGAAGAGCCTAAGGAGGAAACAGGGATGCTACCCTCAGAGGTGACTTCTGCAAGGCATTTTTGAAATATTGCACTTCAACAAATGAGTAATTTCATGAAATTGCACATTAACTCTTCCTGCTTCTCTTCACCTTACTCCTTCTTTCTTGGCACCAAAACCCCTTGCTATTGTGTTACTCCTGGCTTCTGGAGATCTCATGTGTTAAAGAGTGGAAGCACAGCTTGTAGAGTTTTGCAAGCTATAGTCTTTACAGATGTAAATCGCCAGGCCTTTCTTCCGTGGTACTTCTGGGCAGGTTTAAGCCACCAACTTTACTTTAGTGGACTAGTAATCTCAGATTGCTTGCACCACCGGAACGTTCTTTCCTGGCATAAGTATTCTTTAATACTTTCTTCCCTGCGCCTCTGGCCCCTGCTCCTTGCACTGTGCCTCTATCCACGTCTGTCGATCTTCTGACATTACTTTCTTTCTAAGAACCTCCTACACTTGACTTCCCCATTCTCCCTCCTCCTCCTCCTCCTCTCGCCTACTGTCTCTATTGATCTCTCTCTCTCTTACTCTGTCTCCAAGTCTCCATTTCTCTCTTAATGTCTCTTTCTCTCTCTTCTCCAAGTCTCCAAGTGCCTCTCTGCCAGCCTCCGCTTTCAGGTCAGCCTCACATCATTAAAGTGCAATAACTTGATAACTTGCCTGGAGAGTGAGACAGGCAGGGAGCATAACTTACTTTTTTGATGAGTCTTTCATGCAGCCCCAGGGAATGGTCAGAAACTCCCCACAGCCCAGGGGGGCCCCCTCCGCTGTCAGCAAACGTCTCCTGTTTCCTTTCTTCCCCCTGACTTCCCCAACATCTGCAGACTGCTTCAACTACCTACCTCCAGAGACATTGGGGAGCACCCCAGGTCTGGGGAAGCCACGCTGGTGGGCAGCTTCTAGGTGTCAAGGGGTATTCCCGGACTGTGTGGGTGTGACCGTGAAGAGCCTATGTGTAAATAGCACTGCAGACACAAATGGTTAAGCCGTAGTTTGAAGTTACTCTGATATACCGAGTGTCACTATAAATCAAAATGGACTCAGTAGCAGTTGCCTTTGTTCAGATTTGTAAATTTAAGAATATAGATGTTGAATGTCTCTTAGGGTCAGACATAATCCTAGGTCCTGGGGACATAATGTCCCTCTGAAACCTTTGCAATGATGACATTCCCATTTGATGGAGGAGGAGTGGAGCTCAAGGAGCAGCTTTGCTCCAGGCGGGGCCCCAGGCTGACAGCTGCATACTTGGCTTTCATATTACAGACTTCAAGGCCTCGGTGTCTGGAAGCTCTTGGTCCATGCAGGAGTTACTGCAAAGGGCTCCAGGCACCAACATGCTCACAGACCTGCCCCAACACCCTCCCCCACCCGGCTCCCACCTTCCCCACTCAACCCTGTGCTTGCTTTCGGAGGACATTAATTACCTCTGTAGTTGTTGAAAAGTGGGATCCCAGGCCACTACTGCCCAGCGTTCTCTGCACATGTTCCTTCTCTCCAAGTCACAAAACTCACTCATTCCTGCTAATCTTCCCCCCTAATTATGGCAATCATTGTCTGATTGCGTGCTCTGATTACACAATTCCATTTTCACATGCTAACTGCGTAATTAAGACAAGCAATTACACAGGAAAAATTATGACATTTCCAGGCTCCCAGTGTGATTTCAGGGTCCAGCAAGGTGCCCCCAACTGTCCTCGTTGGCAGGATGCTGATCATTTCTGCCAGCTTCCCAAGACACCCCTGATTGTGAGCACCTGTCCTCAGGGTTTCCTGACTCTCTGGATCAGGTGGCCTCGGCTGGGAAGCGTAACCCTCAATGTCCTGGCACAGGGGCGTCTGCCTGCAAGTGGCCACTGGCTGTGGGGAGACAAAGCCTGAGCTGTGAGTGACTTATTTAGAAATCCAAGCCCAGGGTATTGTCCCAGTGGCCTGTAGGGGGCAGCACCCTGCTGGGCAGGTAACTGAGGGCACGGAACTGAAGGCAGGTGCTGCTCCTTGTCTCCCTCAGAAATCCCATCACCTGGGCGAGATCGCATGCCACTGTGTTCTGCATCTCACTTTCCTTTTGTCTTTTTTGAAGACCAGTTGCAAACCTCAGCCCTCCAGGAAGCCTTCACAGTTTAGCTCTGCTCTGGGCCTCTCCCAAGACCAAGCCTGATCCTGCCTGTTCAGAGGCTTGTCCACCATACAATCCTGTCATCCAGAGACTGAGAACTCCCAGGTGGCCAGGAGAAATCTCATCCAGCCACGCTACTCCCTGCCAGGACAGAGTTCACATGTCCCCCACACAACGGCTTACTCTGTCTTATTTGAAATGCACCAAGGGAGTTGTCTCTTTAAAGAAATGCTGTAGAAGATCTTTTGGTAAAGACAGGGAACACGTTCTGATTTGGCTTTTGTGTACACTTGGATTTTCATTTCTCCAGTGGTGGGGGTGGGAGAGTTCTGCAGGCAGGTTGGTATCTCCCTGGACAGTGTGTTCACCTGCAGAGCCCAGCACATCAATATTTTGTCTTCTTCATGGCATGGACATTCATTTGAGACCTTCCATGTACTAGAGAAGGGGATATCAAGACAGCCAAGACCTACTGGGCTCTTCCCTTTCTCCCAGTTGCACATTGTCCTTCCTGTCTCCCACCCTGCTCCCCACAGTCCCCCAAGGAGGAGGGATGCACAGCTCCCACAATGCCTCACTGCCTTCCTTAGAGTTCTGCTCTGGAACGAGCCCCCTGTAGCATTGTGGCATCACTGTGCATTGGCCAATGGCTGCTCCCTTGGGTTATGTCCTTGGCTCCCAGGACCCGCTATTGAGAGGGAGACACCAACCTCTCCTGTAGGATCTTTCATGTTTAAGGCCGTCTCTGAGCATGGGTCCTTCCTGACCCCACGCCTGGCCCAATGCTTCTCACGGTCAAGCTGCTTCTGGGCCGGAAATGCAGTGTGAATGTATCTGGGAAAGACAGCGTGGCCACGCTGAAGAAACTGGTGTCAAGGCACCTCCAGGTACCTGAAGAACAACAGCACTTGCTCTTCCGTGGCCAGCTCCTGGACAATGACAAGTGCCTCTCCGACTATTGCATTGGGCCCAATGCTTCCATCAATGTCATCATTCGGCCCCCAGAGAAGGTAGCCCTGGAGAAGGCCCACCAGACCCAGCCCAGCACCCTGTCTCAGCCACTGTGGCACCAGCTGGCCCAGATCCTGGCCAAACACTTCCGACCACAGGACGCTGAGGCGGTGCTGTGGCTACTGAAGCAAGAACACATGCAGCGTCTGCAGAGCATGAGCCTGGACGCCCTGGAACAGCTGGTATGTCATTTCTTGACTGAGGAGCTGCCTGAGGAACTGGTTGAGGAGTTAGCTGGAGAGACCAGATCCAGAGACCAGCCCTCAGAGAAGCCCCACTGAAAAATGGAGGAGGAAGAGGCTGACCAGCAAATCTACCCATCCCACCCTTTTCTAACTCATATTCTCCTGGCCTCATCCTTATGTCTTCCCCACTAGTTTCTGCCAATATAGACACAGTCTCTTCCTTGTTTTGAACTCTGTGATCAGTTTTGAGCACCCCGATACCCTTTTGGACCTGAGATACTCCTCAAATACAGAATTATTGCACTGTCATTACCACTGTAAAAAGGACTTCTGACACCCTGTGAGCAGGCTCAAAGGGGACATCAAAGTTTACATGTCCCCTTGGGTTGGCAATTCACCTTATCATTCCCAGAACCCCAGATGGTTTGTACACCCTCACACCTGAGTCCGAGTCTCCACAGCTCTAGTCAGATCTTCTTCCCTGGTTCTAGGCCTCCACCAGACAAGAGACTGTCCGGCGACGGCCCTGTGACTGCTGGCTGCGGGTCTGTGCTCTCTGTCTGCTTGTCACTCTGTAGCCTATAGGGCAGGACAGGGAGGAGAACCCTGCTCTGTGCCAGGTCTGTGCCAAATCTACTTATTTCCGGAATGTTTTTGGTGGTAAAATGTGAAGCCTGGACAATCGGGAGTGAAGTCTCCCAGGGCTGGACCCCAGCAACCATGTCTCTGGCTCCCACCCTAGACGAATGATGCACTCAAGTCCTTCCAGTCAAGAGAAGAAAACCGTCAGGGGCTCTGAGGGCATGTGCACACCTGAGCACCGTGGACTTGGCCTGGGAAGCTGTGGCCAGCACCCACAGACTAGGGCTGAGGAAGCCCAGGCTGCTTCCTCTGGGGTCTGGTCCTGCTCTCCATTCTTAACAGGAAAGCCTCCTGCCGGTTCTGTGAGCAGGTTTGTGCTGGGGTAGTGGCATTTGCCAAGAGGGACAAGTCTATTATCTTTACATTAGGGGAACTAATAGCCCATTCCCCAGGAAATCTGTGAACGATAAAATTAAGTGGGCCGTTTTATTCCTTTTGCTGAGACGAGACGCTGACAGGGACAGCAGAAGCGACTGTTTTCTCTTTAGTCAGTGGGCGTGTTGAGCCTGGCTGTTCTCGCCCTCCACCTCCCACCCCAAAGATGCGCCCAGGCCAAGATGCACATTGTCCTTTGGCAAGAACTTAAATCTTACCTCTTTCTCATTGTGGGACAGCAGGCTTAATACTGGAGTAGATGAATTTACAGATACCAATAAATAGCAAGTGGGGAAGGTACTGAAGGCTGAGGGCAAGGGCCCTCCAAGTGCTACAATGTTGGGTTAGAATCTGACTGGATTTGCAGGGACCCCTCACTCTTGGCCTGCCTGCCATGGAGACCCTTTCTTGCCAAGTTTCAACATTTCACTTTATTTCAAATTTACACTTACTCCAGCAAACCGGCTGAGGGCTTTCGTGCCCTCCCTGTTGTCAGGACAGTGTAGCAGGGTGCTAGGGTGATTCCCCTTTCTGAAAGCAGCTCTTCTGAATTAGCACACAGCATCTCTCCTCAACCACGAAAGGAGTCACATTCCTACAGGTCACTTTGAACTCAGGACAGTCACTACATCCTGCTGTCCAACTTTGAGTGGCCATTCACAGCTCCTTCCTGGCTCTTCTAGTTCATCTGTAGCCCTTATCTGCTCTGTTCCCTGACTTCCCTTTCCTCTCTCCAGCTCCCACATTAAAAAAAAAAAAAAAAAGAAAGCGCCTTTCTGATGGGAACAGGCACAGCATCCACTTAATGTGCTACTTATTGCATCAGTGTTTTAGTCTTTGATCAATAAACACTATAGCATCATGCCAAGGGAGCTCTGGTGGTGTAATCTGTGGCAAGCTGTGTTGTTAACCTAAAAGCTGTGTGCTGCTGGCTGCGTGGATCCACCACCAGCCGCTCTGCAGGAGAAAGATAGGCCGTTTCCTCCCATTGTGATTTACAGCCTTGGAAGCTGCATGGAAGGTCGCTAAAGTCGGACCCCACTCCAGAGCAGTGAGTTGAGTGTGTCTGCAAGCCAAATTTTTGGCTAAGCTTGCAACTGAGGAGCCCCATCGCGGCTGCAACGCAGTTTAAGGAGAAGCACGCCCCCTGCTGCTCCGTGCAACAAGGTGCAGCAAAGATTGGAGGAGAAAGTGCACCGATTACATTCACTGCAGTCTAGTTTGAAACAGGGTGTAGTGTTGGCCCATTCAGCTGTCACCTTGAAGAAAAGGGTAGGGCAGTATCTACCAGGATAAAGATTCTGACAGATGTAGAAACCCTAGATGCTTGATTTTAGAGAGCACCAGATCGCTTCTCCTCTCCTCCTCATCCTTTCCCTTCAGTCTCTTTGTTCAGGATTAAATGAAATTTTAGTTATTAGAGAGACTTGTTAACCACTCAAAGTGGATGTAGTGGCCTAGTACAGAAGGAAGTAAATGGTAAGGATGTATTTCTTCGCGTTGAGCTGCCTGGAGAAGACTGTAGGGCTCTAGGTATCTCTCTACATGTGTCTGGTCAACCAATCGATCAACCAACCAACCAACCAACCAACCCACCCACCCACTGCTCAGATTTCTGACACCTAGAGATCCTCCATCGGGTTTCCGGGGCACTAAACCTGTACAGGAGGGAATTGTCCATCTCTCTCAGTTTGAATTGCTGATCTTTCTGTTCGCAGCCTGATAGGTTACAAACTAGGCCATCAGAGCTCCTTGCACGTGTCCAAGGATACTCAGGCAGGGGCAGATGCGATGGTCATAGTCTGTCAGCTTCTATTTCTAAGTTTTTCAACATTATTAGCTCGCATGCAAGTTTGCTTTCATTAAATTAAAAAAAAAAACACAACCACCACTCACCACCACCAACATGGAAAAGGCCATATTACAGATCCATTAATTGCTACTGATTATGAGAGTATTGAACTCTTCATATTTTGGGGTGGCCCTATTAGCAAGAGTCACACCAAGTAGAAGACTGAAGTATCCAGGCTAGCTCTTTACATAAGGACTGATTTGACCAAAATGCCTGACGTGAAATGGAACAAGGAGGCTGATCTCTGAACAGGCTGCATTTTGGCAGTCAGCATTCCATATGTGGAGACCCCCACATAGAGACCAGAATTCCGTTTTCAGCTCTACCACTGGCAAATGGTGTGACCCTGGGCAAGACATTTCATGTCCCTGAACCAAAGACTCCTCTTTTGCAAAATAGGAGAGGACTGTCCTCTGATACCAGGTTGTGCAATGGCATAAAGTCCTAATTACAAGCTGCTTTGATTCAGCAGGGGAGCTCGCTCACACAGAGTATTGTGTGGCTGTGAACTTTTCAGGATGGACTTTATTGAGAATGAGGAAATGATCATGATGTACACAAAAACCATGTATATTATGAATGTATTTTTTTGAAAGAAATCTTTCTCTCATTGCTATTGCATCAGAAATTACTCACAGCTGACCCTCCTGGAGGTTTTCAAAGCTGTAAATCACCCAGGAGGTGACTGTTCATTCTTCTCCTGAGTATAAAGAAATGTTGTTGTGTGTGTCTGTGAGTCAGAATTGACTCATGGCTGACCCTCCAGTGGGTTTTCAGAGCCAGTAAATTGCACAGAAGGAGAATCTTTTTGTGGAGCAGCTGGTGGATTCAAACTATATGCCTTCGGCTTGGAAGCACAGCTCCTTACCACTAGGCCACCAGGGCGTCTAAAAAATAGGAAACTTAAAAAAAACATCATGGATTATTGCTTAGGTCTAGTATTCAACATGTATGCTGAGCAAATAATTTGAAAAGTTAGGCTATATGAAGAAAAATGTGTCATCAGGATTTGAGGAAGATTCATCAACAACCTGCATTACTCAGATGACACAACCTTGGTTGCAGAAAAGGAATAGAACTTGAAGTCCTTACTGCAGAAGCTCAAAGACTGTAGCCTTCAATATGGACTATATCTTAACATGAAGAAAACAAAAATCCTCACCACTGAACCAATAAGCAATAGCACGATAGATGGAGAAAAGATTTAAGTCATCAACAACTTTATTTTACTTGGATCCACAATCAACACCCATGGTAGCAGCAGTCAAGAAATTAAAAGCTGTGTTGCATTGGGGAAAATCTGCTGTCAAGAAACTCTATAAAGTGCTAAAAACTCAGGATATCAGTTTAAAGGTTAATGGTGTGCCTGATCCAAGCCATGCTATTTTCAATTGCTTGGTATGCATCTGAAAGCTGGACAGTGAATACGGATGACAGAAGAAGAAATGATGCCTTTGAATTGTGGTGTTGGTGAAACTACTAAATATACCAAGTACTGTCAAAAGAGCAAAGAAGTCTGTCTTGGGAGAAGTGCAACCTGGATGCTCATTAGAGGCAAGAATGATGAAACTTGGCAGTCTTTGGGCATGTTATTAGGAGAGAGCAGGCTGTGGGGAAAGGCTTCATGCTGGGAAAGGTAGAGAGCCAGAGAGAGAGAGAGAGGAAGATCCTCAAGGTAATGGATTGACACTGACTGTGACAATGGACTTGAGCATGACAGATTGTGAGGACGGCACAGGATCGGAGTCATAGTTGACTTGACGGGACCTAACAGCAACAACATGCATGGGGAAAAGCAAGTGTTTTGGGGAAGGGAAGAAATGCACAGAGAGTTGTAAAGTTTCTTTTTTTCAAAGGTGGACATACGGATCCTGTGTGGTACAAATACTTTGTGCTCTCCTAACTGAAAGGTTGGTGGTTCAAGTCCATCCAGTAGTATTGCAGAAGACCTAGTGATACCACTTCCCTAAAGGCTACAGTCAAGAAAAGGTTGTGGAGCTGTTATTGTCTGCAGTACTTAGAGATGCCGTGAGTGGACATCATTAGGATTTTTGTTTGATGGACAAAGATGTTTTCTATTGCTGGATAACGGATTACTATAAACTTAGCAGCTTGAAATAGTTAGTAGTTTAAAACACCACACACATTAATTATCTCACAGTTTCAG